AAAGAAAAAGAAACCAAAAAAATAGACTAAGAAGATGCCATGAAAGAAGTGGAAAGAGTCCACACCGCAGTGTGGGGTCTCAAAGTCAAGAGTAATAAAAATTTTAAGTAGAGAATAGTCAGTGAAGAGTCTGTCGAAGGTGAGGCTTTGGGTACTCTGCTTTCAAGAAGGCTTTAACCTAGAGTGGCTTTAACAGTTGATGGAGTATCGGGATTGGAATATAGTTGGCAATGATTCTGTAGCATTCTGTAAGAATGGTAACACACTCCCCCTACCACTTGAGATCAAATGCTCTGAGCAATGAAAACACCATAAACTAGGTAAATATACCATGTTATCATAGTTTGATGCCATGAGCTACTACTTTTCCATCTACGAATTTTCCATCTCTCAAATCCTGAGAAATTTTCAAGTGACTACTCCCAGTACTTAATTTCAGCTAATCCATCAGCCAATTCTGTCATTTCTCTCTGAAAATTAGTTCTGGACTCCAACTATGTCTCACTATATCCACTGCTACCACCCTGATCCAAGCCAGCATCGCCTCCGGCCTGTATCATGGCGACAGACTTTTAACTTGTCTCTGTTTTAGTCCTTGGCCCTTTATAGCTCTGTCTCAACACAATAGTCAAAATAATCTGTCGAAATATCTATCATATCATAGCACTCCTCTGTTTATTTTATTTTATTTTTTTTAATTTTTTTTTTCAACGTTTATTTATTTTTGGGACAGAGAGAGACAGAGCATGAACAGGGGAGGGGCAGAGAGAGAGGGAGACACAGAATCGGAAGCAGGCTCCAGGTTCTGAGCCATCAGCCCAGAGCCTGACGCGGGGCTCGAACTCACGGACCGCGAGATCGTGACCTGGCTGAAGTCGGACACTTAACCGACTGCGCCACCCAGGCGCCCCAGCACTCCTCTGTTTAAAACCTTCCAATGGCTTCCCATTTCCCACAGTCGGCAAAGTCCTTACAAAGGCCCACAAGGTGATCTCACACCCTGTTATTTTTCCTTTCTCCCACTTGATCCCAGGCCCATTGGCCTCTATGCTCTTCATTAACGCAGTGTTGTTCTCAAACTTTGATGTATATCAGAATCGCTGGTTAAAATACAGATTGCTGAACCAACCCCCAGAGTTTCTGATTCAGCAGCTTCTGGGTGGAGCCAAGATTTTGCATTTCCAACAAGTTGCTAACCAAAGTTGCTAACTTTGAGAACCACTGATCTAACATATCGACAGTCCTGCCTCTGGCCTTTAACACTGACTAGGCCATGCCTATCTCAAATTCTTAGCCTCAAAAAATAAAAGTACATCTGTGTTGCTTCCAGTTTAGAGCCATTATGAATAAAGTTGCTATTAACATTTTTTGACCAAAAAAATAAAAATAAAAAACAAAAGTAAAACACATTAGTAGATGGAAAAGTAGTAACTCATGGCTTCAAGCTATGATAACATGGTATACTCATCTAGTTTATGGTATTTTCATTACTTAGAGAACTAGGTAATCTCTTCATTTTGCAACTCAAATATCTTATAATCAGTGACAAAATTCCTGATCTGTGGAAGACATCAACTGCAGCCCTACCCCCCCAAAGAAAGGTGCAGCTAGCTCACTCAGCGAAGACATTGGTTGATACTCTCCTCCCATGGGCTCTGCTTCTAATCAGCTTTGGAGTTCCACTCTCTTAAATATGAACAAATAAATGTAACCAGACTTTTGATGGAAGTATCTACCATAAAATATAAATGCCACAACAAAAAAAACTAAAGTTCAAATTAAAAGATTAAGATTAAATTCACCTTTAGGCAGTACTAATGGTAATATGTGACCAAATTACACAGAAATTAATTTGCAGCAAATTCCTTTTTAAGCAGAGTCTCCACAGCATGGCCTATTTCAAAATGGAGTGACATTTAAGCTATTATCTGAATCTAAACAAATACTGAAGAGTGCTCAAGAATGTTGCTTTTAGAAATATTTTCTTTGAGATAAGCTAGCCAAAATTTCAGTTTTCCGGGCTAAGTTATCAAGTTGCTTAAAAGTTTGGGTGCCTAACTATATTTATCAGAACAAAGTTCATTTTCCAACAAAATGAAACTAGAGCTACCTTTTAACTCTCATTCTAACGATTTTCTTTTCCTTTAACTGTTGCCAGTTCTGTTTTTCAAGACCTCTTCTTTATTCCCCTGTCTTGCCAAGAAGCCTCTTGGGTTGAGTTCTACCTTGCTGACCTACCGGTTCTTAAAACATAACGCAAATGTAGATCACTGGGAAAAGTTGGCAGATGGACCACGTGTATATAATTTCACTAACTCTTAAAACATTGGTAAAACTACATAAAAGTTTGTGTTTTTTTTAAGACAAAAGCTAGAGGTATAATGGACACACATTCCAAGTGTGAAAATCAATATTCAGCTAACACCAAGGCACTCCTCCCAATTATTTTTGGTTAGCATTTTACCTTCTGCCACCACAAGATGTTCCAAGGTCACTTTATACTTTTATGTTCCAGTCCAAAGAGGCTTCATTTCTATTATTCTCCAGTTCCTTTAATATTCAATCATTATAATGATGATACGAAAAATTATAGACTAAAGTGAATTTGCCCAAACAAATCTACCAAGGTCTGGCTAGTATCTGACTGGCTGATACCCCTAGACGTTTCTAGCTCACCAACTAATTACGGAAATAAGTAACAGGACTGTATCTTTAATACTTTAAAAAAGTAACGTGGGTGCCTGGGTGGTTCAGTCGGTTAAGCACCCAACTCTTAAATTCAGCTCAGGTCATGATCTCAGAGTCATGGGAACGAGCCCCGCATTGGGCTCCATGCTCAGCATGGCTTAAGATTCTCTCTCTCTGCACCTCCCCAGCTTGTGCACGCATGTTTTCTCTCTCTCTCTAAAATTAAAACATTAAGAGAAATAATAAATATCAAAGTTTTAAAATATTAAGTAACAAAAAATATGGTATATTGGTGCTAAGACCAAGCCCTCAGGAGAGCATCCTTACAATGCAGAGGAGACTATCAGGTGTTTGTTACTGAGGTTATTTATTGGTTTTAAAACTCTTGACTCAGTTATCCTGTGCAAGTAAAAGGGAATGTTCTGGAATGTGAGGTATTCCATTATATTCTAGCTCTGTGTCTTCGGGAAAGTTACTCAACTGTTCTAAGCCTCAGTTCCTCCTCTATAAACAGGAATAATAGTGTTTATCTCATAGGGTTGCTATAAGATACCCTTGTAGGCAGTTAGTACAGTCCTGGCACATTATGAGAGCACACTAATACCCAATATTTCATTATGGTCCTGGGCAGAGTTTAGCTATATGACCTTTCATATATAACAGGGAGCTTAGAAGGTTCCATAGGGCATATGCAGCACTTTCTCTTAACTGAGCAAGCTAATAATGTTAATAAAACATTATTTAATGCCACGCATTTATCTCCTTCCCAAGCATCTTTTTTACTCAGGAAACCTTAGGGAACTTACAGTTGCCTGGGGGAGAAATGGGGGGAGGGAAGGAACAGGAGAGAGTACTCCCATCACCAACACAGTTGTTCAGGCTTTAGATACGCAAAATTTTCCCCCTAGTTCATAGATGGGTTCATTTGCTGTAGCTTTTTTTTTTTTAATTTTTTTTTTAACGTTTACTTATTTTTTGAGACAGGGAGAGACAGAGCATGAACAGGGGAGGGTCAGAGAGAGAGGGAGACAAAGAATCTGAAACAGGCTCCAGGCTCTGAGCTGTCACCACAGAGCCCAACGCGGGGCTCCAACTCACGGACCGTGAGATCATGACCTGAGCCGAAGTCGGCCGCTTAACCGACTGAGCCATCCGGGCGCCCCTGCTGTAGCATCTTTAAACAAACAAACAAACAAACAAACAAACCCAACTTCATATACTAAAGGCAATGCAATTAGTAACACCTTTTGAAGGCTTAATTTTTGACTAACATTAAACGGGTAGATGGTTCACTGAAATGAACCTCACTAGTTATGTGATTTTAATCAACATAATTTGGTTGCACGATGGTGAAACTCCAACAAATGTTACAGTGAGAAAGTAATGCCCTTTTAGGCTTCTAAAATTAAATCAGAACCCTGTTAGTGGCAGTGTTTTTTTTAATGTTTAACCTTTCTGGATGACAATTTAGCATATGTAGCTAAGGCCTTGAAAGAATGCCTTTTTTTTCTTTCTGAACAGTTTAATTAGAATCCTAAAATTGCCCCAAAGAAATAAAAGAATGCAAAACTGTCTGTATAAAATTATTCATTATAGCATTGTTTATAATAGCAAAACATCAGAAAGAGCCTATATATCCAAAAATAGATGCTAGACTAAACTATAGGAGAGCTATATAGCAGAAAAGTACATAGCCAATAAAAATGACATAGGTGTATATTCATTGAGGTGGAAAGATGATCAGCATATATCTTAAAACGGATATCATAGATTTTAAGGGACAAAATATATGATTACTGTTCTTTTTTAGAATACATAGTATGTATCTACTCTGATATACCTAATGATGTATAAGGATAGATGGATCTATACCAAAATATTAATACATGACTATGTCTAGGTGGTTTTAAATTTTCTTCTTTATAATCTTTCCCTTTTCTTCAGTTTTTGCAATAAGTTTGTATTACTTTTATAATCACAAAAGGTATAAATACCAATCAAGCAACCTTTGAACCATAAAGAATCTCAATATCTGATTTGTCCCATGTCTGAAGCACTGATGATAATTGCCAGAATGCCCTGGAGTAAAATGAGGCAAGTATACTACCTCAGGATAAATGAAGGTCTATAATTTGCAAATTAGCCAACCCAGAGAACTTTCAGGGTATCATATCAGGCATCACCACTTATCATATCCCTGAGGTCCAGAAATTTATCAGATAGAGGAAAAAAAATTTTCCTGGTACAAATTCTCCTTCACAGAAAGAAACAGCATAGGTAATATATATACTTAGAAGTAGGAAAAAACTTACTGCAGTGGATAATCTGGATGCCAATGTCATTTCCAAGTTTCCTTTGAGACCAAGAAGTGCAGGAACTAAAATGAAAACTTCTGTTACCTTTTTGAACACCTCCCAGTGCTGCAAGAAAAAAACAAAAACAAAACAGAATTTTCTGACACCCTGTCAAAAACACTTTAGATAAAGGACATTTCTAAAAATCTCCGCCATCTTTCCCAATGTTGCATCCACATACTGAATGACAACACAAGTCATTTAATGAGTGAACATTTAGCTTAACCCTATTCTCCAGAGCTCTGGAGCCTTGAGTTGCTTTAGAAGATTTAGTTAAATTGGGAATGATAGTCGATGCAGTCACTACATCCCCAAATAACTCTAGCTTGCCACACAAGTCTGATGCCCTTACATTTTGCTTTATCCCTTAATGAGGACAAGAGTCAGTGTAACCAGTAGTTAAGAGAACAGACTCAAGAACCAGAACATTTGGATTTGAATCTTGGTTCCAACACTAACTACAACAACTCCACAGGAAAATTACAGCAATATTATTATCTAATTTCACAGTTGAAGAAATAAAGACTCAGAGAAGTTCAATGATTTTCCCAAGGCCAGAAGACGAGACCTAGATTGGATGTCAGGAGTTCTGAGTCATCCCATGTTGTGGTACCCATTTTAGGGTGTGAGGCAAGAGAGCATAGGATCATTTAAAAAGCACTAAATTGGAAATTACAAAATTTGTGGTTCTAGGCATGGATCTGTCATAATCTAGCCACATAATCTTGGATGAGTCATGTGTCTTTTGGATTTCAATTTCTACTCTGCCCTGTCTAGCCCTTGCAAAAATACTTTCATGTTAATGAAAGTACATATTAAAGTACTTTATAAATTGGAAAAAAAAAAACCCACACAAATCCCTTAATAGCACAATCTGCTATTTTACTAATGCTATTAAGAGGTGACTGTGGCACTGAGAGACTTTATGGACTGAAAAAACAAAAACAATATTTGACATTCACTGATGGCTTGTTATGGGCCCAGACACTGTTCCTTAGGCTTACTCATTTAAGCTACAACAAACCTACGATAGGTACCATTCTTAAAAAATCAGACATAATTCAGGAGCACATTTTACCTAGGTCGTAATTTTAAGATACCTACCTATATGACTTAATTTTGGAAACACCAGAATACTACCCGAATATCTCTATCAGTCTACTTCCTTCACGTCATCACAGATTGTATCTACTGGGATATACTTCTTTTGGTTACTCCCACCCTTTCCAAGTTCAATTCAAATCAAATACTCCCACGAGAAACCCTATGAAGTCACTAACACCTTAGCATTGATATAATTAGAACGAGCAATGATTGATTTCCTATCCCATGCCAAATAAATTCTACATTCTTTTCCCTACACCTGCAGAGGCATGTGTCTAGAAGTTCCCAAACTTTCTCAGTTTTCATGGTACCCCTAGGCCAAAAGAAATACCAACAGTCCTATTTATGAAGTAGTTGGTCCAAAAAACTTAGTGAATATTTACCTCCTAACAATTTACTAGCCATTTGTAGAAATAATACAATTATATTGAAAAAATAATATTTTATGTTATACCATCATAATTACTTATTAATTGGGTGTGTGTACCTGTGGGTCACTGCATGACTTCTCAAACTTGGAATTGGAAACTACCACCTTCATTTCTTGTTCTGTATTGGTTTTTGTGTGACACTTGCTTTTTTTCACAGCACCACTGAAAATCTAGTCATCAAGAGAAATGTTGTGTGATGTAATGTTGAAGTATTAAACCACCTTGAGTCTGTAAAGTGTCCAAGAGATGTCACTGTGTTTCCTTTAAATTTTTTTAAAAATCCCACAGCAACCCTGGAGTGTCCAGAGACAGCACTTAGGATATATGATGAGGTTAGTGAGAAGTTGTGCAGAACTTTAGTCAAAGGGAAGGCTTCAGATACCTGGGTTGAAATTCTGAGTCTACGACTTGTACTATGTAACTTGGGCAAAATTATGCTTTACTTTCTTCATCTAAAATAGGGATATTATTGAGGGGCACCTGGGTGGCTCAGTCCGTTAAGCATCTGACTTCAGC